CGAGGGGAGGAACAGAGAGAGAGGGAGACACACGATCCTAAGCAGGCTCCGGGCTCTGAGCCGTCATCACAGAGCCTGACGCGGGGCTCAAACCCACAGACCATGAGATCATGACCTGGGCTGAAGTTGGACGCTCAACCGACTGAGCTACCCAGGCGCCCCTACTGTGACATCAGTTTGATGAACTATTGTTCCAAATCATCGCAGAGGAAAAAAGAAAATGAAACAGCCTGAAAGAGATTTCCTATGAAAAACAAACACCTTATGCTAAAAAAGCAAAACAACTCACTGTGGAAACCATAACATCCGCTTTTATGCCTGATGTTGGCAAAGAGGAATGATTTTCTTACAGGTTAACTCCAGAAATCCCAGCCAACTTGCTGACGGAGAAACTCCTCGTTTCCAGTTGCTCAACTCCTAGTGATCCGACAAGACCCAAATCCTTTTACCCCTCGGTGAGGTCTTCACTAATAACTCCTTCTCTTGCTCACGGACCCTTGCTCCCTTTTTTCTTTCCGCCAGCCCTTTCATTAATTCCTGCCACAAACGCTTAGTAAGAGTCCAAGTGGAACCATAGTACCCTTAACTCTGCCGTACAGACAGGAAGAACACAGGCTTCGTTTCCTGCCCAGGAGGGGCTCACGGTCAGAATTGGCAGGTATGCGGACGAGGTTATTATCATACGCTGGGATTAGTCGTGCTCTAACGGAGGAATGCGGTGCAGAGAAATGCAGTCGAGCCTTCCCCTAAGTATCCCGTGAAGCTTCATAGGAACCTCTCCCTCCCCCAGCAGGCTGTCGGGCCTCTGAAGACAGGAGCTCTAGCCCTCTGCTCCCGCTCGGAACATGCCACGGAAACGCAACAAATATTTGTTGATGCAACAGGAAAACAAGCAACTAACAAAAGGGTTAAGCACTACCACTGCCTCATAGCTGAGTCCTCGGTCTGTGAACTGTATGACCAGCCGGATTGCTGCAATGGGCTGACGTGACACCGGAAGATGTCCTTGGCAGGTGGACTTCTGAACGTGCCTTTGCCGGCACGATCTTCCCGGCTGGCGCCAACAGGTGACTATGCCGATACGACGGGCTCCACGTGGAGAAAATTAACGCGTCAAGACACAGTCCGAGCCTCCGGTGCCTGCTTAGGGCGTCCCTGGCTGACCTTCAGGGGCTGCTCTGTTCTCCAGGAAACCAATCCGACCTCACGACAAAAACAACGAAGGTTTTCCTAAATTACTCTCTAGAGTCATTTATAAAAAGCATGCGATCTCCCAAATACGGAGCACCTAATTCGTTTTAAATGCTTCGCATGAGACACTGAATTATGCTGTTTCTTTAAAACCATGCACGCCCTTCCCAATAACAGAGCAAGTTAACAAATAAAAAGGTATCAAGTTTTTTCAGCAATTTTATTTCACTTAATTGCTGCCTCCTCTCTTTCTCCACGAAGGTGTTGTGCTTCAATTTTTTTTATTTTATTTATTTATTTATTTATTTATTTATTTATTTATTTATTTTTAACCATAAGACAGTCCATCAAGCTGCACAAGCTGAAAGGTACAAATCGGGGGAGGCAGAAATTAAAGAACGAAGCCACTCCTAAAAATGTGCTGTCACATCAGCTGCAAATTACTAATTTAAAAAGCTAACTAACCTCAGTCGGGGCTATCAATGAATCACTTTATTGTGGTAATCAATCCTCCTGGACAGCATCAGAACACCCTACAGACACCTGCCGCCCTGGCAAACAGGAGGGGTGCAGAGAGCACGCAGTGGGAGGGGACGCCGTACAGGGTAATTCATCATTTATTATTTGATCTTTTTTTGCATTAAATTATACTTGTGTCAACAGACTCTGCCCCCGGTACATGTGCATCAGGTAATAGGAAACTGCCCTTGATCTGACACAGAGCCCCTCTGAAACGTTCTAGGGCTCCAGATGATAATGAACCTGACAGAGAAGCCTTCCAGGGGTCTCTGGGAGGTGGATGTGTAACGAGGAAGAGGAAAAGCCTAAACAGGTGAGCATGACGGGGATGAAGAAGTACAAGAAAGTCACCCTACAAAGGTGGGTGCTCCCATCCTCTCACCCTAAAGCCTGAAGAATACAGGGGAGAGAGAGGCGCCTGGGTGGCTCAGGAGGTTGAGCGTCCAACTCTTGATTTCGGCTCACGTCATGATACCAGGTTGTGTTCAGCAGGGAGCCCGCTCAAGAATCTGTCTCTCCCCCTCCCTCCCTCCCTCTCTCTCCCCCTTTTCTGCTCCTCTCCTCTGCTCTTTCTCTAATGTAAAAATTTTTTAAAACATACAGAAAAACCACATGCACGTGATGTGTGAACCTGTGTTTTAAAATAAGATTAACCCTCTTCCTTCCCTACTACTGGCATTTAGGTACCTCGTCTAAGATGAAGCTTGTAATTCCAAGAAGTCACATAAACTATTTAATGTAACAGTTACTTTGTCTCTTAAAGTTTTTTTCCCCCATGGCCAATTCACAAGGGCTGAAAAAGAGTCCAACAAAAGGAGAACCTGTCCCCGGTGACAAATGTCCTCTAATTCCCCTTAGACTTGAAAGAACTTCGAATTTTTTTTTTTCATGTTTATTTATTTATCTTGAGAGAGGGGGGACAGGAGGAGAGAGAGAATCCCAAGCAGGCTCCGTGCTGTCAGCGCAAAGCCCGACGCAGGGTTGGGGCCCACGAACCGTGAGATTATGACCTGAGCCGAGATCGAGAGTCAGAAGCTCAACTCACCGGGCCACCCCAAGAACTTCAAAGTGTAATACCGTGTGGCCAAGACTTAAAGAAAGCTAGAGGCACTGTTCGTTCTGTATGCTGCATTTCGGTTCCACGACGGTTTAGCCGCAGTGCTGAAATCAGAAAGGGGCTGCAACGTTTCGCAGACTCTCAATGGCAAAACTATTTCTCATTCCGAATGGGAGTACCGCACACTTGGCTACGTTCTGTAACACACAGCACCTCACCTTCCTAAAAGCAAAATTCTCTAGGTCTTGTAAACCCACCTGTCCAAACCTGGTTTAGGCAAGACTTTGTACTTTGTGGACTTCTGCCCTATGGACGTTCACGGGGAAAGTGAGCCCGGGTTCTGCTGTGTCTGAACGTTACCTTACGGTATTTTACCTTGAATTCAGAGCTTCACTTAAACAGCACCTGAATCTGAACACTGTGTATCAGAGGAAGCAAACCTACAAAAAGTAGGAAAGTGGAATAACATGAAAAGGCCTGAAAGCTTGGGGACTGCATCTTAACCTGTGACAGACGCTGACTTTACAATAAATAACCCCAAGAATAGGGACACTTCAGGCCTTTCAGCCAAAGGCAGGTGAGGGACGTGGCCTTTTTTTGTGTGATTACCTAGAACTTCAGAATAAAGTGAGATCCTGGAATTCAAACTGTGTGTGCCATAACCCAGCTCAGAGACATTCAGTTTTTCTACTCAACCCACAATGCTAGCTAATGTTATGTCTCAGACCAAAGCAATTCCACCGAGAGGGGTTGGCCACAAGAAACAAACAAAGCGAGTGTTACTCTAATTATTACTGTTATAATCTTACGCCGCCCTAGAGGGAAAAATTCCAACACGCCTTACGCCTCTACTTTCCAAATCTATTATCAATCCACCTGACCGGCGCCCAAATACCCAAACCCCAATACTTCTAACTTGTATCGCTAGGGACCACGAAGAAACGCATTCTTTCTAAACCGTGCGTGTGCCCTCCCTCCCCTCCACGGGTGCTTGTCCAGAACCCAGGCAGCTAATCACTATTTTCGCCAAACCCAGAGCAAAGACGCAGGCCTGCTATCGTAGGCCTGTGGTCCTGTGGATTTGAACTTCCACCCAAGGAACGCAAACGACGGCAGGAGCAACTTTACACAAACCGACTTCAACAAAGTTAACGCCCATCATTTCTGAGTATCTCAAGAGCATCCAGGGAGGGGTGGGTAATGGCTGGAGTCGAACACAGCCCCTTCTCCAATATCCCAAGGCACGTTCCGCCACAAGGGACGGGCAGCAAGTTAAACTAGAGAAAGCCTGCAACAAGTGACTTTGTATTACGGCCTCACCTTTTTAAAAAAAAAAAAAAAAATCAGACTTAAACTCTACTGCAGGCTCAAGTGCTTAATTTCAAATATTCTCTAACACTTTCCGAGAATCATTAGAAGCACATTAGAACGTGACAAGGTTTAGCTCCAGTTTACCTTCAAACTAGTTCAGCGAGGTCAGTGATTTCTCTGTGCTGGTGGTTTTGAGACAGACCCTGGGCAGCCAGCTGCCTCATGAGGTCCGCCGGGGAGGACTCCGCACTCCAGGGGCGGTGAGTTACCAGCTGAAAACCTCTAATTAAAAGCACACACCGCAGGGTCTCAACTACCCCTCATCTCCACCAACAGCAGGGTTAGGTGATCAGCACACGGATTTCTCCGCGGCACAGTGCATGGGGACCATACCTTTAAGTCTCCCCTCCACCCCCAACATCAGCAGGGGGTTAACAACCCAGCCCCTCCACCCACCCCCAGCCTCTTCCCTTCAGGGTGATTGACCCCCACGCACGTGGAGAGAAGGAGATCTGTGTGTTGCGACTTCTGGACGATTCTGACTCCCAAATGCCATCAAGCTTACCTAATTTTTCCAAGAGAGTATTGTCACATCTGCCTTCAAAACCTTCCCTGCGAGGCCCCTGTTGGAGGGCCTAAGGCGAAAGGGAACATGAAATTTCAGAACAGGCTGCCGGGCTGTGATTATCCTACCCGCATAGAATACATTACTAGCAAACGGCATCCTGTCCCAGACTCGCTCTCCCGCTAAAACACCAGAGGCTGTGGGGAGAGGCCTGTATCCCTGACCGCCGGGGTGAACAATCTTCACCGGTATCGCAATAGGTGAGCGCCGTCCAATCAGTGGGGGCCACACCACCCGCACTCACAGACTGTAGCGCCTACAGGGAGACTACGCTTGAGGGTGGAGGAAAAAATTAACCAAGAGGAATGCGGCTGCCGGAGGCCGGGCGCACCACCTGTGCGGCTGCTTCCAGGCCAAGTCCCAGGCAGCCCACAGGTACCACAGCCAGGGAGCCCACGGAGCTCATGGCCCCGCTTAAAGAAGGCGGTGCCAGCGCCTGCCCTAGAAACACACCGCCTGGCGAGGTGCTCTCTCCCCAGGAGGACACAGACCCTGAAAGGCACCACCAGACACGGCCGGAGGCAGGGGAAGCCAAGATCTTCCCGACCGCAGCAGCGTTACCGGGGAAAACCCCGCAGCGCGCGAGCTCCCACCCGGCGTGGCCACCCGCCGGCTGGCGGCCAGAGACGGCGGCTCCCTTAGCCGCTCCCGAGTCCCAGCGTCCTCTGAGCAGGCCGCTGCGGAACCAGGCCAGTTCCCACCACTGCCCTCACCTCCCCGGCCGCGCTGCCCACCTCTGCGCGGGGACCCGTCGATGCTCTCGGCGCTGGACGAGTGCGCGTCGGCTGGGGCCCTGCGCAGGCTGAAGTAGCCGCGGGACCGCGAGGCGCCGCTCCGGGGAGAGGGACCGCCGGGCGCGCCGCCATCCCTGCGCGCGAAGATGCCGCTGAAGCAGCGCAGCAGCCGGTGCTCCGAGGCGCCGCCAGGGCCTGGCGGCTGCCGCGCGCGCTCCAGTTGCCGCAGGCTGGTCGCTGCTGAAGCGTGTGGTTCTGCTCTTGCTCAGGCTCCCATGCTCCAGGTCCGAGAGCGCGTCGTTCTTGCTGAGCACCTCGCCCACGTCCAGGGTGTTGCGCTTCTCCGAGGCCGGCGGCGCGGGGGCCTCCGCGGGCTCCGGGGCGGCCCTGGGTCGGCTGGCGGCCCTCGCCGCCCGGCGCCCGCCACCAGGCTCCCGGAGGCTGCTGTGGTGCCTCCCGCGGCCCGAAGGCCCGACTCCGGCGGCGCCTCGGGTCTGCCCAGTGCCTGAAGCTGAGGTCTGGGCGCGGTTCGATCCTCCACGTCGGGGCTGGGCGCGGCTGGCCCTCCACGGCCGGGGGGCTGCCGGTCAGGTCCGGTTTCGGGTCACAGGTGCAAGGCCGACGTCTGAGTCTAGCTGCCCGGTGCCAGGTGCGGAAGGTCCCAGGCGCGCGGTCGGCGTTCCTCGGTCCTCAGCGCCCGCCGCCGCCTCCTCCCTCGGTCTCCTCCACCAGCCGTCTGGCGGCAGTCCGGGGAGCGCGCGGGCTGGGCCTCCGAGCGGGCGCGGGTCGGGGCCGCCGGGGCCCGGCGCAGCCAGCTGGTCCTCCTGACCATGGTCACGGAGATGCGGTAGACGTCTTCTGGGGCGTCCTGCGGCATCGTGTCCGGCGGACGCGGGCTCGGCTGCCGCCGTCCAGAAGAGGGTACATGTCGCCCGGGGCTGTGGTCATGCCGCTCGTCAGGGGCCCTCGCTCAGTATCCAGAGTGCCGCGGGCCGACGCGCGGTCGGGCGGTCGCGGGCGAGTAAGCGGGAGAGCGGGCGCGCCCGGTATATCGCCCCCCCCCCCCGCTCGTCTTGAGGGCTGGGTGAGGCTGCGGGGACGGCACCCCTGCAGGCCTGTCGGCCCGCAGGCCGCGCGGCCCGCGGGGGGGCTGTCCGGTCCGGGGTGCCCAGTCATGGTCGGCGGGGTCGGTGGGCGGAGCGGCGGGCGGGCGGGCGGCGAAGGTCAGGCGCGGGGATCTGGTCCTCGGCCGGCGGCGTGGGGGTAGTCCGGGCGAGCGGCACCAGGCTTCCATTGTCTGAGGCGGGGTCCGCCTGCATCCCCAGGCCCTTTCGCACAGTTCGCGGTTCCAGCCCGCCATCCCTCGAAATGGCCGCGCGGGTTAGCTTGCGCCGGTCATGGCCGAGGGGCGGGCGGGTTATGGTTTAAATGGAAACGCGCGCCGGGCGGGGTTGGCAATGATCGCAGTGGGTCATGCCAGCCCGGTGTCGAGTCCCAGATGGCGGCGGCGGCGGCGGCGGGAGCGCGGCCCCGCGGGCAAGGCAGAAGCACCGGGCTGGATCGCCGCCGCGCGGACCGGAGCCTCCGGGGGGCAGGCCTGGCACCTGGCCTGAACCCTCACCCTACACTAACCCTACACTCCAGGGCGTGGCCCGCAAAAAGAAAACATGGGCCGGGTCTCACCAGTTTATTTGAAGCATCTGTCCTCCCCGTAGAGCTCTGTGGAGGATGCAACTCAAACAACGACTTATTTAAAAAGCGAGAGATCTCAGGTGCTTGTTACCCCTCCCAAGTGTACTTGCATACTTGTACTCGGAAGGAGCAAGTGCATGGCCTGGAAGGAGGGAGCAAGGGAGGGACCTTCTTGCTTCCTGTGATGGTGCAGTTCACGCCACTGCCCTCCAAGTGAAGGACCATGCAGTTTCACTCCTGAAATACTGTTTTAGGAGTAAGTTCCCCAATGTGTGGGAAATGCCCCTGCCGGTTTAAGAGGCAGGAGAACACAGTGTTGCAAATGTGCATGTCCAAACCTGTCCGCCACCTCACCGTCTCCTATTTCACCTGTAAGGTGGGGAGGAAGAAAATCAGAGCTAAACTCTCTGCGGTCTTGTGAGGACTGAATCAGCGAAGGTGCTGTGTGCCAGGCAGGGTGTGGGAGTGCTAAACGCTGCCTGCTGGGCTTTTCTTCCATCAGATTTCCCTGCCTGCTCCCTCCTGGCTACATAGATCCTGGTCCTTGATATGACCTGATGCAGAACAATATTCTTATGCAGATCAACCTGTTAGTTCTTCCCGAGGTCTCGAATGCAGGGCTTTCCATTGGCTTCTTCCAAGTGTCAGAAGGAAAATGTCACGAAGGGTCCGCTAATCAAACTGGATGCTTACGCAGGCTTCTCGAGGCCTGGAAATGCAAAAGACACAGGAGACGCTCTTTCTGAGGGAGAGAGCTCCGTGGCAGGCCACCACCATTCTGGGATTCTGTGGCTGCTGGTCCTGGCCTCCCCTCCTTGCCTATCACCAAACACCGTGCCCAGAGCACTGAAAAGGACACAAAGATGCACGACGAGGCCTCTTAGGAAAGAAGTTATAGCTGAGGAAATCTGGATTTTACTCAGAGTGAAATTAAACATGCGGATTTAGTGACACAGATCAGAGAGACTGCTGGTTGATTCTATTTCCTTTTAAGAAGATACTTTAGAACAGAGGATTTTTAGAGTGGGGAAAATATATGATACCACATAAGGGTAGGCATGTGTCGTTACACATTTGTCCAAACACAAAGAATACACGGCCCCAAGAGTGAATCCCAAGGTAAACTATAGGCTCTGAGTGATAATAAGGTGCCAACATCAGTTCATCGATTATACCAAACGTACCACTCTGGAGGGAATGTGGATAGTGCGGGGAGGCTATGCATGGGTCGGGGCAGGGGGTACACGGGAACTCTCTGCACCTTCTGTTCAAAACTGCTGTTAACCAAAAACTGCTCTGAAAGATAAAATCCATTAAAACAAAAGTTTAAAACAATTCTGACCACCCCCGGTAGCTGTACCTGGACACGAGTGCCACAATCACAGAATCGTCGCAAGCTCTGCCCACCTACTCTTGGCGCTCAAGGGTTCAAGGGCAGTGCCTCTAACATTCCTTGCATGCAAAGTTAGGGAACCCCAGAACAGATCTGGCTTACCTTCAGAGTTTCAATGAAAAGCCCTCTCTGATAAGACCCAGGAACCAGCAACTTCCAGAGCGGCACACAGACCCTGACCAGCTCTCAGAATGAGGTTTCTAGAGCCCGTCAGCTTAGGTGGATGTAGAGGGGGCTCAGAGAGGGTGGGTGCTTTCCCCGAGGCTACACAGCTCACTGCTGAGCGCGGAACCCGGCGTCTTTTTGGGGGGTCGCACTACCTGTGCCCATCGCCCTTGCCACCGTGGCATTTTTTTTGGTCCCTGCGAGCATCGCCGTTTGCTTTGTTAACAGCAGAGAGAGAGAAATGTGTAAGGCTGAGCTTGATGCTAATCAGATGTAAATAATACCAACATCTAGCAAGCTTCCATGTACTTGTTCACTTTTCTGTTTGCTCATTTATTCATCAAATGCATGTTGGACACTGACCGCAACGCTACACGGTGAGAAGGCAGGGCCTCTGTCCTCAAAGAACTCACAAAGTTGTGGGAAAAAAATGGTGTTTTCAAGGCCACGTGGTTTCACACAAAGCCGGTGTGGGGGACGCACAAGGATGAGAGACAGAGCAGAGCCCTGCCGGTCTGTCTCCGGGGTGAGCGCTAATAACACTGGGTGGGGTCTACCCTTTCAAGGCTGTAGCTGTGTGGACAGAAAGGTCAGGCCGGCTTTAAGTGGAGACTCAAACCTCACCTGCAGAGAGGCAGGGGCCTCTGCACTCGCGGGGGGAGGGGGACTCATGGGGAATCAGAACCCAGGGCTCCTAACTTCCCCTGGGACCTATTCTCGCTTTTTAAGACCAAGGCAACTTTCAAGTTTGGAGATAGGTTTTCCTATGAAATTAGCCCATCGTCAAGACACAGATCCTGCTTGTCATCCGAGGTATTCGTAGAGCCAAACGTAAAAAGTAAAACCCCGTTCCTAGAGCACTCCACTAGGGAACTGCTGGGGTCTTGCACGATGCCGGCAGGGTTATCCTGAATCCAGCCCAGGGTTTGCACGTTGCTGTGGGAGGACTCAGTCCGCAGAGTAGAAGGTTCCATTTGATCCACCTTACATGACCAGGAATCTCTGGGATGGTGCTAAATGAGGGGACCTCTTTCAGCCACGGCCCGGGACGCCCACTGACTCACACTGCTTTCGCCTCACAGGAAAGCATTTATTTTCCACACCAAGCACAATGATCCCGCACCAGGCCTGACTGTCTAGGCTGAAACAGCCCGGGAGAATCACCTCTCCCTACTGCCCTGGATACATGGGCTCGCCCGATGCAAAGAATCAGAGGCTCAGACAGATTTTGCCACTCCAAAATCTAAATCCCCTTTTAATGCAGCCAGACCTGTCTTTTAAAAATAGAAACGGTCATGCTATGTATGTTCAGGTGGCACTATGCTTTCTTTTCCTGTTGCTTTTTAAACTGACCCATCTAGACAATCATTTCTTAAATTTTTCTGTGCCTTAGAATAGATCACCATTTTGGCTTATTTAAAAAAAAAAAA